TGTTGCCTTGGAATTAAAGTGTTCAGGTCTCAGATCTGCTACCTTCATTAGTGTCTTTAAACAAGTCACTTATACTCTCCTTTGCCAGCCTTTGTTTCTTTATCTGTAAAAATATAGATAATTATTTTAAGCATAAGATTATTATGAGGATTAAGTGAAATGATGTGAGTAAACGTGTTGGGCAATACATACACTTTATACAAGGATAAGGTTTTATAGCATCAAATATTATATTAATAATGATATAATTCTAGGCACTATGGTAGACTGTGGCCTTCCTGTGGCCACTCCCTTTATTCTAGAACATGTTCTAGGCAAAAATCGATCTTACTAATGTGTCATGCAATGGGTGAAAATGGATGCTTATTGGATTTTTCCAAGTATAAGTACCAAAGCCATGACCACAATAGAAGAATGAAATCAGCCTAGTCCAGGTAAGTGTCTGTAACAATTCCTAAAGGATTTCTTTAGTTCTGAACTTTACGAAGTGAACAAGAGATAGTTGAGAAGGAAGTATCCGAGTCTACACAGAATCCATTGAAAGAGGCTGGTAAATAGTGTTTACAGACAAGGATCAGGAAATTGCTGGCAAAACTAAGTCAACTCATCACAGATTGTCCAGTGGATTTTTGATTCCTACTAATATTTCTTAATTCCATCTACTTAATTGTAATAATCAACATCTAGACAAATATTGAAGGAAAGTTGAGTGATACCTCCACTTTTGCCTCCTTTCTCCCAATAGAAATGTTCTTTGTTCAGTGCCCAGAAGGATCTGGTCAACTATACACCCTGGAACTTTCTCATGAACATCTCTACCCATCATTTAGATAGTCCATTAATATTCCAATAAAATGATTTTAAATATAATAATATTATATGCAATAAACATTAATATTTTACAAAAAATTAATATAATAATATTACCAAAAGTGTACTAACATGGTATAATATCATAAAATTTATAGGAAATATAAAAAAACCTGCAAATAACAGGATTACTTCTATTATATTCTAAAATATTTTTTTCCTCTGGCACTATTTTTGTTCATCAGCTTATGTTAGTCATTATATTCCCCAAATGAATGAGATGATGTGATAGTTATCTTTCTCTGAGTGGTTTATTTTGCTTAACATAGTGCTCTACAACCAACGCCACACTCAATGGGCAAAAACTAAAACCATTTCCCCTAAAAACAGGAACAAGACAGGGATGCCCACTTTCACCACTCCTGTTTGCATAGAAATGGAACTGCTAGCCATAGTGATAAGACAAGAAGAAGAAATAAGAGGCATAGAAGTTGGAAAAGAAGAAGTAAAACTGTCATCATTCACAAATGACATGATATTGTACATTAAAAAAAAAAACACTCCATCAAAAAGCTATTAGACTTAATAAAAGAATTCAGCAATGTAGCAGAATACAAAATTAACACCCATAAATGTATGGCTTTTTATACAACAATAATGAACTTACAGAAAGAGAAACTTAAAAAAAAATCCCATTTATCATTGCAACAAAAACATTAAGATATCTAGGAATAAATTTAACTAAGGAAATAAAAGACCTGTACTCAGAAAACTATAGGACACTGAAAAAAAGAGATAAAGGAAGATGTCAACAGATGGAAGAACATACCATGTTCATGGATTGGTAGAATAAATAACATTAAAATGTTCACACTACCTAAAGCAATCTACATATTCAATGCAACCCCCATTAAAAAACCAACAACATATTTTACAGGCCTTGACCAAACTCTCCAAAAAAATTATCTGGAGTTAAAAAAGATCCTGAATAGCCTCAGCAATCCCAAGAAAGAAGAACAAAGCTGGTGGGGTCACATTATCAGATACCAAGCTATTTTACAAAGCCACTGACCTCAAAACTGCCTGGTATTGGCATAACACATATAGACCAATGAATAGAACAGAACAGAGAACCTAGAAATAAACTAAGCCATTATGCTCAATTAATATTTGACAAAGGAGGCAGATGCATACAATGGGGTCAAGACAGTCTCTTCAATAAATGATGTTGGATAAATTGAACAAAAACATTTAAAAAAAAAAAAAAGAAAAGAAAAGAAAGGAAGGAAGGAAGAAAAGAAACCAGACCACCAATTTACACCATACACAAAAATAAACTCAAAATGGATAAAGGACTTAAACATAAGATGGGAAACAATAAACGTTTTAGAAGAATCCATAGGCAGCAAAATATCAGACATATGTTGAAGCAATATCTTTGCTAACACAGCTTCTAAGACAATAGAAACTAAGGAGAAAATAAACAAATGGGACTACATCAAAATAAAAAGCTTCTGCATAGCAAACAAACAAACAAACAAACAAAAAACCCATCAACAAAATAATAAGAAATATGAGAGAACATATTTGCCAATGCTATCTTAGATAAGTGTTTTATCTCCAAAATTTACAGAAAAGTCATTCAACTTAACTAAAGGAAGATAAACAACCCAATCAAAAAATGGACAAAAGACCTAAAAAGACACTTTTCGGAAGAGGACATACAGAAGGCCAAGAGACATACAAAAACATGCTCAAAGTCACTAATCATCCAAGAGATGCAAATCAAAATGACAATGAGATACCATCTCACACCTGTCAGAATGGCTATCATCAACTAATCAACAAATGACAAGTGCTGGCGAGGATGTGGAGAAAAAGGAACCCTCGTGCACTGCTGGTGGGAATGCAGACTGGTGCAGCCACTGTGGAGAACAATATGGAATCTCCTCAAAAAACTAAAAATGGAACTCCCATTTGACCCAGTAATCCCACTCCTAGGAATATATCCCAAGAAACTAGAAACACCAATCAGAAAGGATATATGCACTCTTATGTTCATAGCAGCACAATTCACCATAGCTAAGATTTGGAAACAGCCTAAGTGCCCATTGGCAGATGAGTGGATTAGAAAAGAAAACTATGGTGCATCTACACAATGGAATGCCACTGCTGTAAAAAAAAAAAAAAAAAAAAAAAAAAAAAAAAGAAGGAACTCTTACTATTTGCTAATCTTAAAGCATCCACTAGAGGGTCAGTGGCCAGTTAAGATTTGCTTGGTAGTGGAGGTGCTGAAAGTTGCCACTTTTGTGCTCTCCCTCTCCCTGCCAGCTCAGGTGGGAGTGCAGGCCAGGCATGTCTTTTTGGTGCTGTTCCTCTGCATCGTTAAGGCTGTGGGCACCTTTCTCCAGCCTCACTGAATCTGGGGATTCAGTCCACACAGGGACTTCCCTTGATCACACTACCCTGGTGACCACAGGAGCTTGAGTTCCCGGGCCCCTAGCCTGGTGACTACACCCAGGGCAGGTGAGCACACCTAAACACAGACAGCAGACAGAGACAACCCGCAGTCTGCCTGTGAAAAAGACTCCTTTAGTTATCCTGGAGCTCAAACCTGAGGTCAGACTTCACATCAGGAGGCTACAGTTTGATTCCTGGTCAGGGCACATGCCCAGGTTGTGGGCTCGATCCCCAGGAGGGGGCATGCAGGAGGCAGCCGATCAATGATTCTCTCTCATCTCTGATGTTTCTATCTTTCTCTCCCTCACCCTTCCTCTCTGAAGTCAATAAAAAAGTATTAAAAAAAAGAATAAATCAGATTAGTAAAATAATCACAAAGGTTGAAAAGACAGTCAAGAGCTAGGGCAAGGTTGAATGATAAGGTTTATCTCCTACACAAGGCCATTCCTTAAAGAATGAAAGATGTCACTGTTTTCCAAATACATAGAAATAAGCACAGACAAGCAAAAAAAGGAAGCAAAGGAATACATTCCAAACAAAAGCAGACAAAGAAACATCAGAAAAAGACTGCAGTCTTTTGAGATTAATATTCTTATAGTTTCAGTGGCTAAATGGAAAATAAATTGTGGAATATTTAGAAGCCAGATTATAGTTTAGAAAGGAAAATAAATTAATTATAGGAAGATGCAACCACACGAATGAATCTTACACACACTGAATGAAAGAAGCAGAAAGAAGAGAATATATCCTACATGATTCTATTCATATAAGGTTTGGCCTGAAGTTTTAGGGGCACATGCATAGATAAAAACACATTTAAAAAGAAGATTAAGAAAGAAGAGTTGTAATGACAGTGACGGCATTGGTTGTTTTTACGGGGCCGGAGGCTTGGAAGTGGCACATGGAACTATCTGAGTTCCTATTACTTGACCTAAATGAGGTGGTTTCATCAGTGTTTGCTTTGAATAACTCATTAAACTATCTGAAGTATTTCAGTGGGCAAAAATAGAGCTTTATGTGATCACGGTGACAATACATGTGTTAACATTCTTATTAAGAAAAGCCACACATCATTGTAAACATGTATTTTTTCACTTTAACACATTTTAATTCCAGTTAATCCAATTTGCAATAATCTGCAAGTATGCATTAAGTGGGAATATCTCAGTTAGTAGTTCTAAATTAGAAATGGTTTCTTACCTGTAAAGGAAACAATAAGAAACAGTTATAGCCTCGGGTGGGTGGTGTACATGAATGACTGCCCCTCCCACATGGTGTGTAATCATAGCAAGGAGGCCTTGTCCTGCTCGCCTCCCCAGCAAGCACACTGAACCCCACTCCTCCTCCTCACACAGACACACTGCACACCCTCCAGGCTCATATGCTCAGCACCATGTTTAGAAATGAAGTCTACTAGTAGTAACATTAGAATTTTCGAAAGCTTGGTTTCATTCACTGGTTATGTGAGCTGATATTTTTTGTGTGTGTGACTATAAGCCACCCTTAATTATTATAAACTTAACATGATAAAGGTATTTCTTAAGGAACAAATCTGCTGAAAGGAATGAACCATGTCATATAAGTCAAAGAGAGTGGGCTATTTGATCATATTACCTTTGTCATAATGTCATCTATTATATATAACTAAATAAATGTAGCAATATCTTGGCAATTTTAAATTAAATCTGCAAGATTTACTCACCGATGTGTAATATATTTACTTTTTTTAGGTAGTGAATTAAAGCAGGAGAACCAATGGATCCTTACCTACTACATTCTCAGCAAGGACAATAGCTGGTCAAAGGTGACTGTAGAAATCATGCCATTCTAACATCACATGTTAAGAGAACACTAATGATGGGGAAATATTTGCTAGTCAGGCATGTGTAATGGCTGTAGAGACCGCGGGTACCGTTCAGACACCCTCGATTCTAATTGCTTCCATTTCTGCTTCCTATATCCCATTGCTAGACTATGTCCATCCACTGAATGGGACAGAGAACTGCCTGCCTCCTCTCAGGTTCTCAGTAAGATGTCCTTCCAGGTCCTCATGGCCCCTCTGTGCCTTTCCCCAACATGAACTTCGCAGGGGCTGGCCATAGAGGAGAGGCTCGTTTGGGTGGGACGGGAGGGGAGAACAGCAAATGGTGACGGCACTTTTCTGTCCTTGAAGGTGTTTGGTATTTTGGAGAAAACAAAAGAGCAATTCAACTTGGAAGATTATTCTGTCAGTCAGATAACACTGGATCAGCTCTTCCTGACCTTTGCTCACCCAGAAAACATTGGACGTGATGACCACAAGGAGGTGCCATGAGATTCAGTTCCATCGGGGCCCCTGTCTTCTTAGGCTGCTCTCTTCTGGACACTAGAGGGTGTTCCTGTGCATGTGTATGCTGGTGTAAATATATTTATGCAATAAAGAGCCCCCAAAGTACCATATGCCCCTTCTTCATAGATTTACCTGACTGCCAGGGAGTCCAGCATGTGCAAATCTGAAGACATGTGGTGATCCCATGTTCTCTCTCCTAGAAATATGTAAGACCAGCATTTATCAAGGTGGGGACAAGCTATTTCTGAGAATTCTTCGTGTTTGAACAGAAACATCCAGAAATGATGGAGCTGTTATATGGGACAGCTGGAAGACCATGAGATTTATTTTTTGAGTTATGGGTAATAGAAGAATGTCTGGAACAACATGTGCACACACACACACACTCACCAATCTTATACCAAAAATAAGATATTTGTACTAAGACCATTTAGAGTCCAAGAACATAAAGCAAAACATTCTTTGAAAATAGAATGTTTTCCTTTCTACTCTTGCCTACCTCTGATTAAGAAGGAAAGAGGAAAAACTGGATTGTTAGGTAGGATAGATAGATACTAAGGTGGGAGAGGGGGCTTATTATTACCCGAAAGTAGTCCTGAGGCCTGCCAAGACAGATTATCAACACTCAGTGACAAAGGGGAGCGCGAAACCTTGCATGCTAAGCCAAATACCAGGCGAGGGGTACCTTGAAACTTGCAACAATATGACCGATAACCCTTACAACGCCAGTGGGTGGGGTGCTCAGACTAGTGAGTTGCCTGTTTGTGCTTCATGCTAAGTATCCTATATAATAAGATCCTAATATGCAAATGACTGAGCGGTGGAATGACCAGTTGCTATGATGCACACTGACCACCAGGGAGGCAGACACTCAACACAGTCTGGCTTGTTCGAGGTTTTCATTGTCTCAGTCTTAGAGTATGATTCGATATCCAAAAGGTATTCTCTTCTATTGTTTTTAGCTGAATAGCACCTCGAATGAGTCCCATTCCCATACTACCACTGGCCGCCCAAAGCCATTTCAGTAACCGCAGAATCTGTCCCGGCTAGCTGTCTCTCAAAGGGAGAGAAGCTACTTAGTAGCTCTTGGCTCTGGTCTCCCAGTTGGCTTCATCACTGGCCCTTTAAGACATTCCTTTACTCTGACGGTCCCTTCCACTGTCCCCCAGCTCACTCTTCATCTTCCAGAAGAAACACAAAATCCTGTGCCTCGGTCCTCTCTGAGCACGGCACAGGCTGGCCAAGGGGCGCAAGGCAGAGCAGCCTGTGGCTGCGGGCGTCCCCAGGAGGAAGCAGGTGGAGAGGAGGTGCAGTTCTGGCTCCTCGGATGGGGATGCTGAGCGCCTGGGCGGCCTGTTCCCACTGGCCAGCACCGGCCATGCCCTCGGGCGGACGCAGGGCCTGGCCTGGCCCACAGGAAGCCCTTCTCGAGGTGGATGGAGACCAGAGGCAGGGGCCCTGCGTGGATCCCTAGGAGCCCGTCAATGGGGGTGGGACGGGCCTAGGGAGAGGAGGAGGGATTGTGCCCAGGCTGCCTGGACCCCAGAGCAAGGCCCTCAGCAGCCATGGGGCCCGTCCGGCCTGCGCCCGGCCTCTGGAGCCCGGCCGGGGTGCCAGAGCCCAGCGCCTGGGCCCGAGGCCCACATGGCACCTGCGGCTCAGCGTTCGGACCTGAGCCCGGCCCGTTACCCGCTGCCTTCCTCCCCTCCTTCCCTCTCCTCCCCCTCCCCCTCCCCCCCCCCCCCGCCCAGGTGCCGTTGGGTGGGGTGGGCCCGGTCTGCGGTCTTGGGGGGCACAGAGCCGCGTGCGCAGGGGCCCAGGTGGGGCCTCGGGGTCCGATGGGGGTCAGGGTGCGGGTGGGGTTAGGGGTGGGAATGGGGGTGTGGGAGGGTGGGGCTGGGGTGAGGGTGGATGTCGGGGAGGGGCGGAGGAGGGCACGTGCTGGGAGGTGTGTCCCAGGGGTGGGGCGGAGGGAGATGTGCAGTGCGTTGGGCTGGGCGTTGGTGGAGGAGCTCGAGCCCTGCAGGGGTAGCCGGTTGAGAAGTCCAAGGGGTGAGTGTTACTCCAGCCCCCGTCCTCCATCTCCGGGTCCTCCAGCCCCCGTCCTCCATCTCCGGGTCCTCCAGCCCCCGGTCCTCCATCTCCCGGTCCTCAATCTCCCGGTCCTCAATCTCCCGATCCTCCATCTCCCGGTCCTCCAGCCCCCGGTCCTCAATCTCCCGATCCTCCGTCTCTGGGTCCTCCAGCCCCCGGTCCTCCAGTCCCTAGTCCTTCATCTCCCGGTCCTCCATCTCCAGGTCCTCCATCTCCGGGTCCTCCATCTCCCGGTCCTCCATCTCCGGGTACTCCAGCCCCCGGTCCTCCATCTCTGGGTCCTCCATCTCCCGGTCCTCCATCTCCGGGTCCTCCAGCCCCCGGTCCTCCATCTCCCGGTCCTCCATCTCTGGGTCCTCCATCTCCCGGTCCTCCAGCCCCCGGTCCTCCATCTCCCGGTCCTCAATCTCCCGGTCCTCAATCTCCCGATCCTCCATCTCTGGGTCCTCCAGCCCCCGGTCCTCCAGTCCCTGGTCCTTCATCTCCCGGTCCTCCATCTCCAGGTCCTCCATCTCCCGGTCCTCCAGTCCCCGGTCCTCCATCTCCGGGTCCTCCACCTCCCAGTCCTCCATCTCCGGGTCCTACAGCCCCCGGTCCTCCATCTCCCGGTCCTCCATCTCTGGGTCCTCCATCTCCCGGTCCTCCAGCCCCCGGTCCTCCATCTCCCGGTCCTCCATCTCCCGGTCCTCAATCTCCCGGTCCTCCATCTCTGGGTCCTCCAGCCCCCGGTCCTCCAGTCCCTGGTCCTTCATCTCCCGGTCCTCCATCTCCAGGTCCTCCATCTCCCGGTCCTCCAGTCCCCGGTCCTCTATCTCCGGGTCCTCCATGCAGAGCCCTGCCCCAAACCCTGGCCCACGGGCTGCCCCTCTGACCCCTCAGAGCAAAGCACCCTGAAGTGTGTACCCCATCCCCCTCACCACCTGAAGCAGAGGAGCACAGGGACTCCCAACCCTGCCTTTCCCTCCAACCATCACCCCAAACATCTGTTAGGTCCTGAGGCGGAGCGGGCCGCATCCCCCCATTCCCATCCTACACATATGCCCCACCTCCCTGTTGTCCATGGCCACTGGCTAGGCCCATATGCATGCACACAAGTCCTTTGGTTGATCTCTTCCCCTTACTCCCACACTCCCCTACTTTCCCTCTAAGGTTTGAGAGTCTGATCGCTGCTTCTCTTTCTCTGGGTCTGTTTTTGTTCATCAGTTTATGTTGTTCATTATTTCCTCTAGATGTGTGAGATCATGTGATCCAAGAAATACCCTTGTAAGAACTGAAACTGAGACAAGCTATAATGGCTATGCTGAGAGGCAAATGAATCAGTCTGTAGTGAGTTCCTTTCTGGGCCAACAGTTCTTTTGAGTCCCAATTCCAATGTCAAACAGTTCTTACGTGTACATGTCAGCCATGATATTTCAGGTTGGTAGACAAATGGTGGTGATGCAGGTCCGACCATCTCTGGTTTGGTCCTGGGCATCCTTCAGCGACACGTAGCTGCTGTCTGCTGGTATGGTGAGGGGTTGTCAGCGTCTTCCATCTCTGAATTATTTCTATTCTGTTTTCATGGCTGGAGCACTCTTGTCAATTCCTCTCTGTTACAAGAATCCAGATGGTCTCGGAGCTGTTTTCTGAAAATATACAAACATATTCTCGACCAAAAGTTAATAAAGGGATATTTTCTATAAATTTGACTTGGGATCCTTTTTCATTCCTCCCCCCCCCCCCAAATGATTTTCCTCTGGCTTGTTTTGACAACATGTGTGTATTTTCATGGGTATCTTGCTGTTAGTGTTTCGAATGAAGGTTAATTTCCTAAAGTACAAATTTTTAGATGTAAATTATTTGCAGGATATTTTTCCTTACATGATATTCTTCCACTGTCCACCCCTTTATTAATTTAAATAATAGGAGGCTTTAGGAAATTTTATAATGTAGTCTTGATAGCTTTTACATTTTAATTATTTGTGGTAAACTATGACTGCTTTAGGTTCATTACATGTTAAGCAAATTTTACCATGAGATGCTCTGCCAATAAGAATTTTTGTTAACACTTTAGGAACAGCTTTTTGTACAGTACAGTTCTTTCTAGAATATTAATTTATTTCCATTAGCTGTGTATTTATTTACCATGTGTTATTAGTGGAAATGATTATTTGCCTTCTTGAGAAGGGCCTGAGCATTCCTGCTACTAGGCTGGACTTAGATATTAAAAACCCACTTGCCCACACCATGAGTACAAGACCTCTCAAAAAAGTCTTGTTGCAGTGAGAGGGTAGCTTCTGTCAGGAAAGTCTCTGTCTGTTACCTGGTTCCCGATTTGAGCTGTGCATGGGAAGTGAAGCAGCCATGGGGGCAGGAGACCTCCCTCAGAAGGGGTGAAGGTTCAGGTGCCTGCCACGTTGCAGGGGCAGGTGGTAAGAGTCTGTGTCCCACCTCTGTTGACCCCCAAGTTCTCTCCTGATGGCCCCTCTGCAACTGTGCCTGTCTTAGATTGTTTCTTCTCTGAGGAATCTTACCCATCTCTGGCTAACCAGCCATCCTCTGAGGCCAAGCAAGGTGATGTGAGGTTTAGTTCTGTCTCCTTGATAGCCTATGCCCCCTGGGCTCCATGCCCGGCACCTGCCTCAGGAACCCCTCACTTGCTGGCGAGGCCCAGGCACTGATCTCATATTTGTTTATTGTTCCTAATTGGTGGAGTCTTTAGGATTTTCTTTATACAGAATCATGTCGTCTGCAAAAAGTGATATTTTTATTTCTTCATTCCTAATTTGGCTACTTTTTATTTCTTTCTCTTGCATGATTGCTCTGGCTAAGATTTCAACAACTCTTTTATCTAATAAAAGAAAAACATGCAAATTGACTATACCTTCCCTATTCCCACAGCCAATCAGAGT